GCATCTCACCTTCTCATAAACTTATCTCTTATTGTCCACCGCGAGAATAATAATAATAATAATAAGAGAGGGTCCCTGGTTCGAGTCCTGGTGGTGACAGTCAATTTTTTCTTCAGACTTTTCCCGTTTGTCTCTTTCCCTCAAAACCAGTCAATAATAATAATAATAATAATAATTCATTGCATTCCCAACTCATCACAACCACGCGCCGAAAGCTCTGTCCCAATATTTAGTTCTGAAATAATAATAATAATAATTAAAAAGCTTACGTGGAGATAAAAATGTAATCAACTCAATAAATAGAGTAAGCTGCGCACTCAGTACAAACACCATTAGCAAAACTTGTTTTCATGTAAAGACTAAGCTTAGTTATTTACATGAAAACAAGTTTTGCTCATGGTGTTTGTACTGAGTGCGCAGCTTACTCTATTTATTGCGTTGAATAATAATAATTCAAAGGATCAGTCGGGGAAGTGAACTGCCTGAAAAGAGAAAAAAACGCCAGACCCACCAGGACTCGAACCTGGGACCCTGCTTGTCATGAGCAATGCTCTAACCACTGAGCTATGGGACCAGGCTGAACCTAGAAGGCGCTGACAAGATGTTCACTCCAAAGGCAGCTCACAACACGTGCCACACATACTGATGGCACTTGGGTCTTTTTCACTGATCCTTTGAATTTGAAGTTCTCCCAATCCTTTCCAAATTTAATCACTTTCTTTCACCTCTGGTAGTTTCCAGAAACTGACCGTGGTTGGCCCCCTGGGGGAGGGAAAAAGACTACCACTACTTCGTAATAATAATAATACGTGCCTTTACCAACAGCAGCGTCCATTGGAACAAAGAGACCCGACCATAGTTATCCAAAAAAGATAAAACATTGCCTGTGGACGTAAGTGTTCCTCTGGATAGGAACATCTGCCAAAAATCCGTGGAAAAGATACAGAAATATCAAGACGACAGATGGCAGTGATTGCGGGGTGGGAGGGAGGGGGGGGGGGGGAGGGGGACATTAGGTGGATTAACCCCCTTGATTGCTGACTTTGTGAGGGAACTAGATGCCAGAGCCAGCGTATCCATCTTGCAAAAGGAGGCCATCCTTGGCCAAGTTGACATCATTAGGTCAATAACTCAGAATAACAATAAGACTCGGGTGAAGAGCCAAGGATTAATTTATAAGAAGAAAAGAGGACCATCTAATTGTATACTCTCACCTCCTTTTCATTCATCCTGTTTTCTCGCAGTTATCAATTGCACTGTTCCAACACTTGTCCATGGAACAAGTGACAAGACCATCATCCCGTATCTTCATAATGTTACCTTTACATGTGACACCGGCTACCGACTGGACGGATCCGCATCAGCCACATGCAACCATAATGGTGTTTTGCAAGTACCCACATGTAATAGTAAGTGACAGGTTTATCGCCCTTTGTCGGTATTTTTCAACGGCTTGTGGATGATTAAATGGTTCGGGTTGTACACTCAGTTCAAACCTTTGTCGGTATTTCAACGACTAGTGGATGGTTATGTGGTCCGGGTGGTGCACTCAGTTTAAACGCCATGATTAAAAACTGCTTGGCATTTTGCCTGAAAAGCACCACTTATATAATTATGGCTCTCCAGGCCAAACCATCACCAGTGGTACAAACTTACAGAGATGCAGAGAGGTGCTTTTCAGTCACAATCTTCCTCAGCCTACTCAAGCGCAACTGATGAGGGGTGGATTCCCCGAAACACTGTGTATTGAGCAGGGAGTGGCGCTTTCCTGCAGGTTTGCCAAGTGGAAGGTGCGACATGCTCCTCGTGTGCTCCGGATGGCAGTGGTGAGTTAGTCAAGTGTTAATTGTTGGCAAGAAGCGTGTGTTCCTAGTTGGAACAAACAACTGCATAACTAATATTGATGAAGTCTCAACTTCTAAGTTCCTATTGTTGTCCCTCACGGGGACTAGTTATTGGAGGTGAGAGAGAGTTGTGAATAGCTACTGGCTCCCAACGTTGGTTTAGCACAAATCCATTAATGACTCAGACTCACACTGCTACCTGGAGCTTCACAAGGTACGTGTCTCTCTGGAAACAAAGCATCAAACAAAGCGTCTCTGTAAGTTTGTATCCCTGGTGATGGTTTGACCTCGAAAGCAGCATATAAGTGGTGCTTTTCGGGCACAATCTTCCTCAGTCCACTCAAGCTCGACTGATGAGGAGTGACAACTGCTCGCTTAACAGGATCAATTTTGAATGAGTTCGACAGGGATATGGATGATGGTTCACTATTATCCCGACATTCTCTTTGACATAGTTTGCTAGAAGTGGGGTCGACTGTAGTTCCTAATCCACCATGTCAAAAAAACTGTTAACATAAAATGGCAAAAAAAACATGTCATAATCCACCTGTTCCTGTATTGTGTATTGTGTTGTTGTTATAGGAACATTGTTAAGTATGATGTTTCACTGTGCTCAGCAAAGTACAACTCTCTAATCCGTACTATGTGTATTCCCTTCTTATCCCTGATTCTGTGTACCAGTCATCACCTGCAGGACACCCGCAATTGCCAATGGTCACAAAGACAAGTCATCTGTTATCTATCAACAGTCCGTGCAATACACTTGTAACAGCAATTATTGGATGCTGGGAAATTCCACACAGTATTGCAAAGCTAATGGGGCATTGACATCGGTGCCAGAGTGTATTAGTAAGTTTGAGCACGCAATTGTTCATTGCAGTGATCAAGCCCTGCAATATATGCACAAGGTTCACTGAGGCTCCAGTAAATTGTTCTGGAGCCTGAATACTAGCTGATGCCTGGTTCACTGGTTCGTTTCCTGATGTTGACAGTCATTTGTGGTCAGACCTTTCCCTTTTCCATTCCCTCAACTTTTGAATATTTGAATACCTGTGCGGTTTGTTTGCAGGTGAAAATCTGCTTACCGGACACAGGTACTGCTCTGGTGTGATCATCAGAGAAACTACAACGGGAGTAAAATTCAAATATTTAACAGCTCAGCTCATCTGCAAAAGGCAAAACGCCAGGGTCATCACCGCAAAAACAGCTAAATGCGTCCAGAATGTAAATGCTTGGGTTCTCGGAACAAATCCTAACGCGCCTCAAGTTGGTCTTCTAGGCGTGATGTGTGAACTTAGTAAGTATGGCATGTGTTAATGATGATACGACCATGGAGTTTTTTGCACATGCTGCTTGTTTCAAGCAATTTCTGTGCACTGATTTCTGCCTATATAATGTCCATACAAAGGAATGGATAATTCAAAGTTAAAGGGGAAGTATACCCTAAAATCAAATTTTCACCAGTTGTAGTCTTCTGGGTGTTGAGTCGAATGGTCTTGGTCCGAGGAAGCTGCGACGCTCCCTTCCTACTTGAATCCCAATCGAACTCGCGCACTTCCACCGAAACTGAGTGACTGCGCCCTACTAGATGGGGATTTGTATGCAAAATGTCACTAAAAGCGCCATTTCGTTCTTATAAAAGCACGGATGACCGCGATTGGCCCATATGTTGTAGTCTTTTGGACGCTGAGTCGACTGGTTTTGGTCCGAAAAGGCTGCGATCCAGCGTTCCTCCTTTATTCCCAATCGAACGTGGTTGAACAAGTGGTCACGTGCTCCTGGGTGCCCAAATCACCTGGTCACCGCGCCAGCAGGCGACAACTTACATGTACTTTCACACCAAGGTTCAACTCGAGTTCAACTCGAGTGACAGGACTGCACCCAAAAAAGGTCAAACAGGCTAGTAAGTTGTACCCTGCAGGCACGGTGACCAGGTGACTGGTGTACGCAGGAGCACGTGACCGCTTGTTCAACCATGTTCGATTGGGAATAAAGGAGGAACGCTGCATTGCAGCCTTTTCGGACCAAAACCAGTCGACTCAGCGTCCAAAAGACTACAACATATGGGCCAATCGCGGTCATCCGTGCTTTTATAAGAACGAAATGGCGCTTTTAGTGACATTTTGCATACAAATCCCCATCTAGTAGGGCGCAGTCACCCAGTTTCGGTGGAAGTGCGCGAGTTCGATTGGGATTCAAGTAGGAAGGGAGCGTCTCAGCTTCCTCGGACCAAGACCATTCGACTCAGCACCCCGAAGACTACAACTGGTGAAAATTTGATTTTAGGGTATACTTCCCCTTTAATGTTAGACCTGGCTTTTGCGAGTACTTGTTCTGTACCTGCTATGGTTATCTTAGATTTTATCCGTTTGGGGATGAATGTCCTTGGATTTGCAATGCATTACATAAAGCAAACACAGAATAGATGTACTTCGGAATCTCACAGCCTTGCATTCCCCTCTAGTTTGCCTGCCCTAGCACATCTTAACTCTCACGTCCATTGAAAGTCTAATATCATTACCAATGTTAAAATGATCTAAGGAGAGATTTCTAGACTCACTGTTTCTTCACTGCCCATAATCCAGGATAACTAACATAGTTCATAATCCTTTCTCCCTTTCCATAATCATCATAACATTGGGCATGATTGCCCGTTTGGCTTGCCATGTAATACAATACAATACAATGTAGCAGAAATTAGTTCTTACAAGAGTCATTGTTTCCGTCGGCAGGCAGCTTGAGTTTCTTTATAGAAAGTTCTTCATTGGGGCCCAGCTGATGCCTTGCCATGCATAGAATCTTAGCAACCGGTGCGATTGCTTAACGTCCTGACTTGACGAACACATCCCAAACAGTAGAAGGTTTTCATACTGGGATACTGACGGCATTCTTCTTCTTCTCCGTCTTCTTCTTAAAGAGCTTTTTAGCCTCCACTATTTCCGCTCAAGCCCAGGCATTGGCCAACAGTGGCGGTCGCTTCCTTTTTCTTTCTTTCTCCTTTTACTTTCTCCATCACTGCCTAAAAAACAATCGGCACGGTTTTTCCCACCAGTTTATTTGGTGCGAATTACTTTCCTTCTCCCTCATTTTTATGGTCTGTGTTGGCGTTGTTCTTCCGCTTTCTAGCTTGTGCTCGTCAATCTAATGATCATATCAGCAGCATATCCGAGAGCGGTATAGTGACATGTGATCAGGGCTATGAATACATCCACCCGCAGCCTGTGTGCATGGGAACGCAGACAATCGAACGCTGTAGCAGTAAGTAGTCTATGACCATATCTCATTGTGTTGAAGTAGAGCGATGGTCTGGTCCCCAAACATCCGAGTTTTTATGCGGTGAAAAGCAACAGTTATAAATGGTTATAATTTGTGAACTTTATTCTTAAATTAAAACTGCTGTCTCCGAATTGCTTGTTTAGTTATACAGGGCAGTACGTAATCATCCAATCAATTCTTCCAGTAGTTCCAGACTGTGGTGTGAAGATTATTGCACAGTATATGCTTGAAAGAGGCAAGTGCACTTTAAACACGATGCGACGATACGACAGGCAACTGAAGATTGGCAACTGAATGAAACTGAGAATGTGACTTATGTTATAACTAGACATGAAACTGAGAATGTGACTTATGTTATAACTAGACACTGCAGCACTCTACTGTAGTGTCTATCTCAGTAGTAGTAGTTGCTTCATACTTCAATGGTGCTACTGATGGCGAGGAGCAAGCCGTTATTTATATAACCAAGAGTTCATTACCGCCAAGAGTGTGCAACTCCAGCTACGGGGCCTGCAACGGCAGAACTTCACATCACTGCATAGAGGTTGTGCAGGTAGTTGCACACTCTTGGGGGTTATGAACTCTTGATATAACCAAAGGTGAATCACACCCGAAGTACAGTAAAACCGGGTGTAAGTGATCTCTGTGTTTAGCGACCACGTGCTCTTAATCGTTTTTTCTATCCACCGACAGTTCTACACAGACATTGTGGGACCTGGTTCTAAAGACCACCTGGCTTTAACGACCACTTTTGCTTGCACCGTGTGGTGGTCGCTTAAACCAGGTTTTAATGTAAAAGATGCGTCTGGCCAGTGTTGATTCCGTCCACATTATCATGTCTGAAGATTTGTTGTTTTCAATACTACAGTACAAATAAGCCTAAAGTCGCCTTCAAGAGTCCTGAGTGTGGGCGGACGTGGGAGCTGGGGAGACCACGAGCGGACATTCACCCTTCGCCTTCAATTTCTACTAATTCATTTTGTATTTCAGCAATGCAGTAGGTGTAGGCAGGGCAGTAGGTGTAGGCAGGGCAGTAGGTGTAGGCAGGGCAGTAGGTGTAGGCAGGGCGATTTGAACATTTAACACATGCACCATTGGGTTGTTGTCCCCTCGAAAACCTTTAAATTATCGATTTGAAGTAGATATGGGCGCTATAATATATTCCGCTCTTCGTGACAGTTCTGTCCTTTCGTGCTAGCATAATGTGTTTGCCTCTGTGATTACATTGTAGTAGTTCCTGAGTGTGATGACTGAAGTGCTCGTATTTTTCGTACTCCTTTTCGAAAATTAATAATCAGACTCACAGCTTTAATGTTTCAAATTCTCTCGACAACGCCACTGTCTAGATGTTCACAGACGGTCTCTTCTTACTATCCTTCTCTTCTCTTTGAATCCTAGGCTCCATGTCCCAAGATCAATCGCAAGCTAACAAAGGTATGTGTTTCTCCTTCTCCGTTTTTGCGTACCTTATCCACCCTGGTTTAGCATTGTAGTCTTCTACATGTAGTTGGCAAATTATGGACATTTCTACACACTCATAAACTCCATTGCAGCCACTTACACATTCGGGTACCCCCACTGAAACGCTTAAAACATGATCTCTTTGTTGTGTCACTTAAAGTCACTAAATTGGCCCACAAATGTCCCCCCCCCTCTTCTCCTTCTTGCCCATCATACCCCTGGTCTATCATGCTCCAGTTCATCATGCCTACCCCCAGATTGGACCATTAGGTCCAAACAGTTGATGAATACTTTATGTGACGTGTGCAGAAAAGAAAGCTTGCTTTGCTTTGAAATTATTACATCTTGCAAACCAATATGGGCATTCTACCAACCGTTTGAACAACATTCCCTGATTGAGATCCCTATCCAACACGTAATATGAATGAATTTGTCATAGCCGTCACTTGTACTCCTTGAGATACACGCATGTGAGATATGAATCGCATCACCCTTTCTTGAGCAATTCAAGGTAAATCCGGACTGTTTTGTCCAGACTATATTTTGGAGCATTATCAATCAGAAAGAGCGCACTATAGGGCGACGATTGCTAGAATGTTTTCAAAATAATAATTACTATTGAACAAATTGCAAACGTCTGCGATTATTTTCAAGCGAACGAAAACGTTTGGTCCTAAAACATTTTTGTTGTTGCTGATTTGGACTGGTGTGGATAGCATAGATGCATTACTATTAATCGAAGGAGCCACGTATGAATCATCCATTAGCAGTGTAGCTGGCAGTAGACTAGATATCGCGGCATATGATGAGGATCACTGACATATTTGGACCCACTGATGGCTGGTCAGTGTGATACATATAGGTGGCTAGCACCAAACATGAGCAGAGCACCAGTCACTCTCAGGTTGTCGGTGATGGTATGAGCAGAGCACCAGTCACTCTCATGTTGTGTTTGTTCGGTGCCATTCCGACACCATTCCAAAGTCATTCCGCCTTGTTTTGATTCCGGAGCGTTTGTTTGATGCACTGGACAGCGTTTGTTCGGTGCAATTCCGATTCCGGTCGTGGAATGAAGGGGGCAGAATCGATTCTGGCGATTCCTAAGAAAAATTGGAATGAGGTCTCATTCCGAGCGGAATGAAAATGTGCGGAGGGGCTTCGTGAAGTTCGTCGTTGCTGCATACCTCCCCATCAAAACTTCAAACGAGATTATCAATATACAGAAATGTTGGCGGACATCGCCCAGGGTATAGGCAGGTGCTGTAATCTCGGGGATGGCATAGTAACTAGTTCGTGGTATTTTCACCCTTCGCTGCCTGAAAAATGTTCGCCCGGGATCGCTGATGAACTGGAAATATGCCCTCTTACCTCAGCTCTTCATCTTCGTCGAGCAGGGCCTCTAGAATCACAGGGAGGCGAGCCAGAACAAAGTGATCCAAAGAGGCACCAAGCCTGCCACTTCACGTCTTCTTACAACAGTGCCTCGTCTCTGTCAAATAAACACGAGAGCTCGAGACGTTTCTGTGACTGACACGAGGTCGTATAACATGATGAAGTAGCGGCCAAATGCCGCCTGTAGGCACCCTAGTTGCGATCGCTCGTTGACCTGCGCCGTGTTTGGCCGCTCCTTCATCATGACTGTCGTAGGGACATGCAGAAATTACGGAAGCATAGCAACTACCAGGACTGGCATGTAGATTGTTGTAGCCTTTGCAAGGCTGCAATTATTTTGTGCAAACAACAGGTACATGTAGTACGTTTCCAGAGTGGCGCAAAGCTTTTGCCAGATTCTCGAATCCATGCCAGCGCGTTTGTTTGCTACGCTCATTCCGATTCCGCGATGGGCACCGACGTCATTCCATGCCCATTCGGGAATGACCGAAAAAATGCAACCTCAGTTTGCCGGTGATGGTATGAGGTGATTCCAGGCTGGCTGCTTGTCCGGATCTGCCTGTGGCAATTTATCCGACACTGGCACGATACAGTATGGGAAAGAGCACATAAGGATATCAGGAGCTTGTGGCGACACATTCAGCTCAAGCTGGTGGGTATGGTGCTTGGCGACATCCACTCTGCATGCCTGCTTTTCTTTTGTTTTCTTACCTTTGCTTGGAATTGTACAGTAGTGCCCTGTCCGAATCTCTACAGACGTGGAAGTGATGGAATCAGCTGTGTAAGGTGTTCTTGCGACGCACACGGAACAGAGAGCTGTGATTCTGACACTGGAGTGTGTTTTTGCAAAAACTACGTGGATGGTAAACAATGTGACGTGTGCTCTGATGGCAGTTACACAGCGTCTACTCATCTAGACTCCTGCACCCCATGTTCCTGTGTGGCTAACACTACTCAAGCCAATAATACATGTGACATGAGTAGTGGTATTTGTAATTGCTTGGAAAAATATTCCGGTCACAGATGTCAGTCTTGTAGTCTGGGCCACTACCAATCAGGAAAGGACTGCATACCTTGTGAATGTAGCTCTAAAGGTGCTAATGACAACCACTGTAATGTTGCTACTGGACAGTGCAAATGCAAACCTGGGTATGGAGGAAGGCAATGCTCTGTGTGTGCAAACGGTCACTTCCTACCAGACACTACACTGGCAAACTCGCCGTGCGTGGCTTTTGACTCCAACTTAGAGTGCCAAGGTAAACATTTTTGAACTAATGTTGCTTTGTGTTCACAGTTGTCCATCCAGAGTTCTAAGCCTGTTAGTTTACTATTATCTATATTTTTAAGAGAAGAACCACATGAGAACGAATTATTCAGCAACTATCCACGGCTGTTGCAAGATGATGAACAGTCAGAAAATGCGACAATAGGGCACATAACTGACAGGCTAATGAGAAATTCAGCGACCTGACACCTAGCTCTAACAAACCTCCAATGCGCAAACCAACAGCCTTCCAACTTGGAAGGTTCATGGCTACGTAGGACCGAAGAGGGGAAGGTGAGCGCAGCCTAAATGTGCACAAGTCCCACGACAACAAAGAATGCCGACTGTTACAGGACGATGGCGAGACTAGTTAATAACATGACAATACAGTCTAATTACAATTCGAAGCTGCAAAGCAAAAAAAACACCCCACCTGGTGGATCAGAAATATCAGTCCCTCAAGTGGACGGTCTCTCTCCAGTGCGTTTCAACATTTCCCTAGAGGCTGCTCTCTGGGGACCTACAACAGGAGCTGCCATCTTGCCCTGCTGTGGACAATGACCTACCGCTGGATATCGCGTACGCCGATGATGTTGATTTCGTGGGCCAGGATGAGACGTTTCTGACGGAACTGCAATAGCCAGGAATTCATCACCAGGTCCACAGGACATGCGGAAAAGATCGATTTGGAATTCTAAAGCCAGCTTCATTTCAGCTTCATTTTAGCTTCAAATTACCTTTCATTTCAGCTTTATTTCAGCTTCAAATTACCCTTCATTGCAGCAAAAATTAATCATAGATCGCCGAGTTGTTTTCACGTGAGGCCTGAGAACTGACATGCCTTGACAATGACCCAGGCTGTTTGAGACGGCGTGGGCTGAGAGTGAGGAAAAGCACCGAAAATGAGTTCAAAGCTCATGCTCAGGTGTTGACTTTGCCAGCACTATAACCATAACTGCTCTTGTTGTCCGCAAATGGCAACGCAGCCAAGTCTACATTTGGGAAACTTCACTCCTGAACTCCAATAACTCCTTCACAGCCATTCAAACTATATTACACCATTTTGCACCTGGATGTGTGTGTTGGTGTGTGTTTGTGTGCATATGTTTGTGTGTGCGTGTGTGTGTATGTGTGTGTGTGTGGGGGGGGGGGGGGGGCGGGGGGGGGCTTCAATAGAATCTCATTGGTCTAAACTGTTTTCATTTCAAACTGATTTGCGAGAAGGTTCTAGCGCCGATAGACCTTTGATCTTCCAAGTTGCCAGAGTCACCCCAGGTTGCGATCGACAAGTTTTCACTGTACACTGGTAGGGACATATTCATACTCTGAGCCACCAAGGGGTTCAAAGCAACACGAATAATTGTATTTTCAAGGAAACAGAGTGCAAGCAGACGGACGAGGAGTTATGGTGTAGAAACCTACCACCATTATCACTCAGCACTTTCTTCGCCCTCGCATTTTAGTGGATGCAAGCAAACCAAAGACACAATCCTATTGCGAAATTGTAATGTAGCAGTTATTCAAGAAAGGGCAGAAGCTAGCCAGAGAATTTATGAAATAAGTAAATAATAATTATTTTCAAATTCAAGTTCCCAGTTTTCTTTAGCACTGTCTTACTGCTATTATGTCATGCTTTAGCACTTACTTTCTTCTCACTCTTTTAATAATTTTAAAATGTCCTTTTCGTATACCTTACCCTCAGCAGGGTTTACCGGGTGTTAGCGGCCGTCGTGAGTTCCCTTCAGGAACGGACATAATAATTTACTTTTCTTTTTTGTACCCTCAGCTCCCATACTATTCGGTGATGAGCTGAACGCGAAAATCGATCTTGGAAAATAAATTCTTTAAACTCGACGTTTTCTGGCCATGTCTGCAAGAATTGTACTCTATATTGCACCTGCAAAATTTGTGCTTTTTTCTTTATTTTCTGCAGCTTGCTATTGTTCTCTAAAGGGATCAATGAGCAGCAGCTGTGCTGATGGAAGAGGAATTTGTCAATGCAAGCCAGGGTACACTGGAGAAAAGTGTGACTCTTGTACCAGTGCTAACCAGTACCACTCTACAACTGACGGTTGCAAAGGTATGAATGGAGTACACTGCATAAGACTGTTTTGTGATTTGCTAAGTGGTCTCGTGGGATCTAAAGCTTTGAGACAGGCCTTATTCACCACCAGTGAGCAAGTCTCCGCTGCTCTTGTTCTGCCAATGGCTTGTCACATGTCTAGTTCACCAGCTTAATTTCACTCATCCGTCAATTCCCTCTTGCAGTAAGAACAGGTATGCATTTTTTAACACTAACCTCGCTCATCCCGAACATGGTTCAACAGGAACCGTGGCTACTTTGCTTGCTGATGCTCGACGTAGATCTGCAAGAGCAAGGAATGGCCATCGAGCATGCCATCGGGGTCGCTTGGAGTTGACCAGCGCGCGGCCTACACTGGTTGCATTAAGTATGGCATGCGCGTAGATTTCTTGTGTCATGAACAACGACGTTACATGATTTGACCTGTACTTACCGTGCTCTGGTGACTCTGGTCCCTGTGCTTCATGTTGTGGGAAAGTCCTGGCTGGAAGGCCTACAACGCGACCAGCTCTTGGACATCAAGAGGCACTTGATCCGATCTAGATCAACGGGCAATCCATGTAAGTAAACATGCGGTTGATCAAGGTGACTTGTAATAACTGATGAACCCTGATCTACGAGACCTGGCATTCTTGGGTGACAAGGCACATGATTTCATCGTTCCTCTTGCCGTAAATTCCAAACACTACACGCAAAAATCCAGTCACTTTTGCATCAACTGTTGCATCGAAAAATGTTGGTGGTGCAAGGAGAAGCTTGTCGTTTGGAGTGACAAGTGCTCACCACTGCTTTTCCTTGTCCGAGTCAACAATACACTTTGTTCTGCGGCGTTGGGAGTAGTGTTGGAGTAGAAATTGCTGAGGAGACGTCACGGAGGGGCGAGCTTTGCTGCGCAGGTATGAGTTTGGACGTATTTCAGAATGGTCGAGTGGAAAAATTCAAATTGTATATTTCAGGAAAACCCGAGAAGGAAGAGGGGGGGGGGCATGTCCTCAGTGCTAGAAGAGGTGTTCTACTATCTGCTGGTGTATGTGCTTGCTAATTGAGGACGTAGCTGGCTGTTTTATCAGCGCTTGTAATTTGGCTATTTTGAAGACGACCAGTTGTTGCATCAAGGGACGATGGGGCTCGTCTTCTGGCATGCTGGCGTGGCTAATCGGTGCTGCCCCAAGAACACTTCTAAAGTGAGGCAATGTTGGCTTGATGGAGTTTTTGTTCGCAGCTTGTTCTTGTACGCTGTGGCGTCGCTCGTTTTACTTGGAGCGTCATATTCGGCTGGCCTCTCTGGTCCACTGGTCGCTCTGTCGTGTACATGGGATATCATGTGAAGACAAGTACTACAAGCACCACGGCGATCCGGTACTTGAGCATACCAAGACCCATGCGACGGTACAAGAGCATCCTGCACCCAAGGATAATGTGCCTGCAGCTAGAGATAATTCAAACGCCAAAATCTCTCCACAGGGCCAGAAGATCAAGATTCTGTGGGATTTCATCATCCGAGGCGATCGCTACATTGAGCACCGACGGCCTGATTTTCTTCTGGCTGATGGACCTGCCAAGAAGGCCCTGATCATTGACATTGCTGTACCTGGTGATCCAAGCGTTGCTGAAAAGGAAGTTGAGAAACATGCCAAGTATCAACTTCTTGCTCGCGAAATCCCTCGGCTATGGCAATTTGAAACTCAGATTTTTCCTGTGATAGTTGTGACATTGGGCACTGTCTCCAAAGAGCTGCTGCCAGGATATCTTTACACCATCTGTATCATGAGCTACTGCTCCGTGTCTGAATTACAAAAGAATGCTCTCTTTGGAACGGAAGCTATCCTGCGGAAGGTCCATGATTTGCAATGCTCCTGGGTGGGTGGTGGAGTTCTTTTGGTCCTATTTTCCTCCAACCCCTCTTGTGTTTCCAATGATCGATATTGAAAAGGTTTATCGTGTTTCTCTCTGTTGTTTACCTACAATCATATTAAAATCGATGATGTATGGCCCCACCTTTGGCTCTAGATGCAAGCCCGGTGGGTGCCATTTTCCAGCCTTCGGCCGAGCGCTGATGGATAAAAAGATAAGAAGAAAAGAGGACCAACGAACTGCAAGTTACGCTATAATGTCCACTAACGCCACCAGTCTTTACATTTAGCTCATGTGATAATATTGTACGACACTGATTCGTTTTTGCTTAGCTTTGCCTCCAATCGATTTTCCAATCTTTATGGCCATACAAGTTGCGTGTTCTGTGGTATGTTGATATGCGTGGTTTGACCGTTTTGTCTAATACTCTTGCCAGTATCGTCATCGACATACATGTATATCTGCCAATGTCCTTCACTGCTGAGATTTTCAGCTCGTGCTTGTCTTGGTTGCGCTCACCTCCCCCTCCTTATGTTATTTCTACAACTTGGAACCTTCAAATTTGGAAGGCTGTTGGAGTGGGCATCCAAGATGTGCTAGAGCTGATAGCCAGTTTAGTGTAGGTAGTCAGTACCGTTGGTCAGTGTCGTGCAATGTTATCACATGAGCTGATTGTAAGGTAACTGATGGTGTTAGTGGATATTATACCGTAACGGGTAGTAGGTCTTTGGTTCTCTTTTCTTCTTATAAATGAATCCTTCGCTCTCCACACGAATCTGATAATAATAATCTTAGCTTTGTGTTTCAGTGTCTCTGGTTTCTTGTAATACTTACTTTAAGAGAATGCCCGAAAACTGGTTCATGAATTTCTCAGCCTGTATTGCTGATGATGGCAAGGGATGGTTTGTGATTTGTAGGTTTTCTGTCCCGGATATAATAATATAAGACTAAAACCCAGTGCTGTAGACAGCAAGCTGATCATACAGGCCTCATCATTGCAGCTATGCGCTTTAAGTAAGCTGAGTTGCCAATGCACCATCGAGATTACGACAAGTCGTTGCTGTAATGCAAGAATAATCCAGCTCCAAAAGGCTGTGAGCAATGCGTAGTGCAGCAGCTCTAAAGCAGCCCGCCGAGAGTGCTCAACAAGACAAAAATCTCGGAGCTACCTACCCAACGTTCCAGACGGCAAGCTGTTTCGGCCCTAAAGGCCACATGAGTTTAGCTACGACTTTCTCTTTCCTATTCAGTCCCGTTCTCACACAGGTGGTTTAATAAATTTGATGCAGACCAATTTGCAAACTGATTCTCATGTGTGTGTGTGCTCTCTTTGCTCAGAATTGTATAAAGGACTTCTGTCGCCAACCAGTGCATCCGGATTGGTCCAAGGGAATGTAGTGAATCTCACATATCCCTTTGTCTTTGGCTCTAAGTTCACCTCATATAACCAAGTGACGGTAAGCTGATACCGAGATGCATCCACGCTAGTTATGTGCCCACCACTGACATTGTATTATTCTAGTTTTCTTTAAGAAAAGATGAATGAACAGGCTGTCGAGTCAGACCTGTTCGCATTTCTCAATCAAGTGAACTGATTACAGAAAGGAAGTGAAAGAGAGAAAGCTCTATGTTCTTGAAAGAGACATTAGAAATCCGATTTCCAGCAGTGGTTGAGGTTGACGATATGTAACAACGATACAGAGACACAATAGACTCACCTGTCAACAACTTGGTTTTTTAATCGCAGTCTGATGCACACATCATTCTGTTCTTGCATGAATTGTTCATACATTTCCATATTTGGGGTCACTGAGAGACTTCCTGAACATGGCGGGTTGTTCATTATTCTATTATGGACATTCATTATTCTATTATGGACATTCAGCAGAGGCTTCACTCTATGATATTGCATTTTTGTGGGGAAGGGGGGGGGGCTTGGCATTTTAGTCACAATAGTGGCAAACCCTTGAGCTGCCCACTGCACCTTTGCATGATAATATCTTCTTCTGAGCAGGCACAAAGTGTGCTCTCTACTTTGGTGTCGTAAATCTGTAGATGCCGACCACAATGTGCTGGCATTCTAGTCGTTAAAGGGGAAGTATACCCTAAAATCAAATTTTCACCAGTTGTAGTCTTCGAGGTGCTGAGTCGAATGGTCTTGGTCCGAGGACACTGAGACACTCCCTTCCTCCTTTATTCCCAATCGAACTCGCGCACTTCCACCGAAACTGGGTGACTGCGCCCTACTGAATAGGGATTTGTATGGAAAAAGTCACTAAAAACGCCGTTTCGTTCTTATAAAAGCACGGATGACCCCAATTGGTCCATATGTTCTTTTGGCCGCTGAGTCGACTGGTCTTGGTCCGAAACGCTGCGATGCAGCGTTCGGCCCTTATTTCCAATCGAACACGGTTGAGAGAGCGGTCACGTGCTCATGCGTACACCAGTCGCCTTGTCACCATGCCTGCAGGCTACAATTTTCACATCAAGGTTCAAATTAAAGGTTCAAAGCAGGGAGTCGTAAGAGGCTTTTACGGCTCCCTGGTTCAAAGGTTCAACTCGAGTGACATAAACGGGCCCAAACAGGCTGTAAATGAGTACGTGACCGTAGGCAAAATTAGAGTGCACTTAGTGGCATATGACGTCACAGCAGCAGCTAATATCGAACATGTGACCGAGCGCAGACGTGGCATAAAGAAAAAGACAAAACAAGAAAACAGAAAAGAGTGAAGTGAATTTGAATCGTAGCGCATAGCGCGCATAGCTATGAAAGTGAATACATATCGAAAGATGGAAATAGAGCGAAGTTGAGCAGATACAACACTATGGAATAATGACAATCACGAATAGAACTGGAAGCTGGATAACTCTCAGTATAGACCCAACAAGCGCGTACCCTGGATGACAAATCTCGCAAGTACGTCAATACATAATGCAAAAATATACCGAACGAACACTCAATGGAACTTCAAACTGCTCACTGTCGTTGTTCTGTAACTCCTCGCGCAGTGAAGCAACAACAACAATTGTCCTCGACAAGTAATTGAGATGCACATCATGCACACATAATCAAACACTCCCTGCTCCAGAAAGCCACAGGCTTTAAATGCATCAGGAATACAAACAGTATTGTGCTAACTTGCCACTGACTTAGAATAGCACTGCATAACACGGCAGTAACGCACATGAAGAATTGTATAGAGAACGCACAAAGAACACACAGAAAACACACAGAAAACACACAGAGCGCACACCACTGCATCCTGTCTTCCGAACATGTATGGTTGGCTGCACGACCGTTCAACCTATATCTTTCAAACATTGCAGGATGGTTCTGACCTACATGCTACGCATGGAACCACAGGGTTTGATGTCATAGGTGGCACACAAAGTCACACACACACACACAGCACATTCTTGTGCACAGATACTTAAGTTGTGGACAAGGTCGCTTCCCTGATCACATCTTCTTCTCCACAGCCGCTATCCTTAGCTGTCATGTTCCTATCTGTGATTTAGAAAACATATTCCTTGCACCATGCATGCATGGTCCACCACTTCCATGTCTTTAACCTTCCCTCCTAAGTTTCTACAACAGGAGTCAGTTGGTTCTTCGCTCTCCACAAAGTGTGTTTCAAGAGGAGAAAAGAAGGTTTTCTCACACACTCAATCTACATTGTTTTGGTATATGTTTCTCCACCAGGTGTCTCTTGATGGACTATTGTCCCTGAATGGTTTTTCCGGAGGCTACAATTTGAACTCGCGGGTGAGAGAGGAGCGTGCCATTGTCGCCCCCTACTGGACATCGCGCTCTGGAAACCAGGCCTGTTCCAATGGAACCGTGAAAATACATCACTTCAACGAAAATGTGGACAAGGCTGAGTTAGATACTATTAAAGAGTTCATTAAAAAGTTTAATCCCAGTGAGGAGTTTAAGCCACGTGAGGCCGTTTTTGTAACCTGGTTGGAAATCCCTGAAAATGACCAAAACAACAAGGTAAAGTGAAAATTCTAAACAGGGATGCCATGTGGTGACGTCATTTCTCTCCAGAATTATTCTGCATTCAACTGTAGTATTTGTTTACTATTTCATTTTCACATGGAGAATCCAATGCAGCCAGTTATAGGGTGAAACTATCCAACTATGGGCATCATCCACAGAATCTGCTGGCATCATACGTGTGTACTCGAATCTCACCATGAGATCTTTTCTTGTCTTTTTTCAGCAGTCGATTTTTTTTCATCTAAAAAACCAGTCCTTCGCTGATATCAAAGTTCTTCAAGCTAAGACGACAACAGCAATCAATAGAGGAAAAGGTTTAAATGAATCTGGTTGAAGTTCTTGCGTGGCAGCGGACAACCGCACAAACGCGTTGGACTCTAGCACACCACTAGAGTCCAACAGCTGTGCAACCTTTCTCAGGACGTGTAGGCGTTGGTCAGCCTTAGAGGCCACGGCCCGGATGTGTGCTGAGTAGGACAGTTGCGAGTCGAATGCTACGCCCATAAGTTCAATTCCTTTCCCTTCGGGAGCAATCACGCCATTGAAGAGCACTGGTGGGAGCACTGGGGGAGGCTTGCGGGAGTCGATAATGAACGCCTGAGATTTGGATGGCTCGAAGGTGGCCTTCCACTTGGAACCCCAATGGGATACAGCATCCACTGCTTCCTGGAGTTGTGTTGCAGGGTCGGATATGCTGGCTGTGGCAGAGATGCACTGATACAGTGTCGTGTCATCTGCATAGGTGGCGAATTCAGCACCAGTAAGCAAGATGTCCTCGCAGTCACACGCCGGTTGCGCTGGTAGCTTTCCAGCCATCCGAGAAGTGGGCTGTCTAGACTGTACACGGAAGCCTTGTGCAGCAGGCCAGCATGGCTGGCTGTATCACAAAGGTGACTGCTATATCTATCGCAAAATCATGGGTGGCTCCTCAAGGCTGGCTGCTCTGGACCATTAAGAGAGGAGCTTGGTTAAGGCGTCCGCTGCGCTCATGCCCTTTCCGAACCCGAACGGTTTGGCGGAGATGACATTGTGAGACTCCAGGAAACTGGTTATCTGACGATTGACAATCGTTTCCCTCACTTTGGATAGTAGCCAACAGAGACACAGGTCTGTACTGTTGAGGCAGGTTCTTGGATTTCTTCTTGTGAATGGGTGTGACTCTAGCTGTCTTCCTTGATGTCACCAAAACCATGATGTAGAAGCCAAGGGAGAACAGTTTGGAGCGTGGCTTACTCACACCTTCAGAACTCGCGCGGTATTGCCACAGTAGCTTTCGATGCATTTAAGCGCCGGAGTTCTCTCTTGTCCATGGCAGGGTTGAACTGAACCGTTGAGAGCTTTTCAGCCGTGCACTGACAAACGTGGGGGGGGGGGATTACGTCGCAGGTTGGTTGGCGGGGAAGTCGTCGGCGCCCAGGCTGCACTTTAAGGCAAAGTACTGCCCAGAACACTCAGCTTTTTCGGCATTCCATACGCATTCCAAGCCAGGCTGCGGCGCGAGAGTTGGGATGGAGGTGTTTCTGCTGCTGCCACCTTCCTGCTTGATGGTAGACCACCACGAACGGTCATTCAGGCTAGCTTTGGGGAGCTTAGTGCGCAGGGTAGACAGGCGGGCCACCTTGGCATGCTGGCCCCACAGGATGTTGTTACATTGTAGAGTGGCTGCCGAGGTTGTCTGCCGCGCTGCTGTTGACTTCTGCCATCTGGCAGCAGCCCAAGCCCTCTCTTTTGTTTTTATGGGATGAAACGTCACATGCCATGGAGGATAATTTCAGTAATGTTGCCACACCACTCCTTAACCCTGGTGGTGAAGGCAGTTGACCAGTCATAGGCTAGGAAAAGGTGACAGAAGCTGTCCCAGTCTGCTTGGTTGCACCGCCAGGCAGTGCGTGTGTTTTTTGGTTCACGGAACACGGAGAAAGGGAAGTCCATGATGAGGACATCATGGTCAGAGAACCCCGGTGGCACATGGCATTTCACCTGAACCGGTTGGCCGAAGTCAGGCATCACACGGTCCCGGGTGTTATCTCCACGTGTGGGAATGTTGACATGTTGCTCCAGGCGATGAACATAGCAGAGTTCCTCGGCTGCTTCCCCTGCCGAGGTAGTCTTGGAGCTTCCAAGCCAGGCTGCATTGTGGACATTGAAGTTCCCTGCGAGGATAACATGATCACCGTGGCTGCGGGCCTCATGTAGGTGAGTATCAAGGTAGTCGATCACCTCGGTGTCTGTCCCGGCTGTGGAGCCTGACCGGTAGAGTGCACAGATACCAATCTCAGACCGGCTAGCTGTTGATACAGATATCCATAATCACTTCGTGATGTTTCGTGCTGAACCGGTCCAGGTGCTGGAAGGCCATGTTTGATTTCACCCAAATGGCAAATCCACCTCCATGATCGTTTCTGTCATGTCGGATTGGAGACGCGTATCCGGACAGACAGACCGCACTGTCAGTGACCTTTGCAGTTGAGAATTTTGTCTCCATTGCAGCGATGACATCAGGTGAAGAGCACTTTCCTGCATGTGCGAGTTCACCAAGCTTTGACTTAAGGCCAGAAGCATTGACAAGTAGGAGCCTGAGGAAACGCTTTGTTGGAGACCATGCAGGTCGTGTTGTGGCGCAGATCCATTTGATCTCTTCAGGTCTCCAGTCTCTGGTGGGAGGTGGGAGTTTCTCCGTTTTTGGCCAACATGTAGTCGAGTGGAGATGATTTCTGCCGGTGGCGGTGGCGGCGGTAGTGGTGGTGGCAGTGGGGAGGAGGGTAGGCTGAACCCGGCTGTTGCTGTTGCTGTTCAGTCAGAACACTGGTAGAGGTGCTGTTTCTGCTGCTGTGGCTGTGACTGCTGGTGCTGCCCTCAGAGCTGGTTTCGGAGAACTTCCATGGCTTGCAGTATAGGGGTCTTGGCCAGAAGTTGGGCACTGTCACTGTGAAGAGTGAAGTGGAATCGATGGTCACTCTGGCGGAAGCACGCCCACTTTCTGACAGCCATGCACTGCAGGTGTGGAGAGGAATAGAGGCGCCCAGAAACTCACTCCTGGTTTTGAGAAAATGCCTGAAGTGGCTCTCAGTGCTGTAGGTGGCAGTACTGCCAACATACACCACGGCACGCTTGTTCTTGGGTGGCTCTGAGGAGACAAGCTTTCATGAGAGATCCTCCAATAGCATGGAAGATTGGCTTGGACTCTGTCACAACTGTCTGAGACTTGGACTCTGTCACATCTGATTCGAGATGTGACTCAGAACACTCTGCCTTTGCCAAAACACAGCTTCCCTGGGGCTTTCGATCCACGTTTGTACTGAGGCCAGTTTAATTATGATACGGTACTGCTGGGTTCCACGTGAGCTGCAGATTGCTTGGCGCTGCGTTTGCTGGCACGGGTACTACTACTTGTGTATGATGTACGTCTGCTGGAACTGCAGGTGCAGGTAACCTGTTTCTCGTCGTCTTTGACTTCATCCGGGCAATGGAGTTTTAGACACAACTAACTCCTCTTTCAAATCCTTCACTTCCGCTGCCAGCCCGCCAATTTTCTGCTTCATACGCGCTTCGCGGGCAGCAGACTCGGTCGCAGAGAGGTCGCCCATGGCGAAGGGTTTCTGCCTGGCCCTACCTCACTATCTAGACTACACTACACTACACTACACTACACTACACTACACTACACTACACTACACTACACTACACTACACTACACTACACTACACTATTTTTGCTACTACCTACCCACCTATGTCCAGTCCGGCCTGATGTTTTTCGGGATGTCCAAACAACGAAAAGCTACGAGTTTGAAAACATGCTTGCCACACTCGTAGCTGCAAAAAGTTCAGTCGCCTACTTTCTTTCAGTAAACAGAGTTCATGATGCGAATGATGTACATACAGAACCTCTAGCACGGCCAACTGCAACTCAGCACTACTGAGACACTAGTGAGAAACCATCATCGCTATACATCTCACGACAATCACACCATGACTATGGCAAATGATGTCTTAACACCGATCTACAGACTTTGAGTGGTTATTATGGAGTTTTCATTGAATTTGGAAAGAAGCGGGGGTGAATTAACGTGTCTGTCAAGCTCATACTGTTACTGTCTGTTTTCTATTTCATTGCTCTTTTCCCTTTAGCGTAACACATTCCAGGCTATGATTATCAGTGATGAGTGCCAGTCTTTTACTTCGTTCAACTATCATGATATAAGCTGGGCAGGTTATCCGTATCCGGTCCTGGCAGCCGGCAACATCCTCAATGCAAAACCAGTTAGTGGAAGACTATACAACCTGACCAATGGCTGTAGTGCTAAGCTACGTGCAAAGAAGCACTGCCTTGACAATGTTAGACCTGCACCCTCTCTTGGCAACTCGAGTGTGGATATGACCGAATGTCCGTCCAACATAAAAATTGCAAATGTCGCTACAGCGTTCATAAGACAGGAACAAATTACCGTTCACGATTGTTACCTCTCCGGTCCTACTACATCAAGTGCAAGTCAGGAGATAGCTTCAGTAAGTCTAAACAAGCATTCAAGAGGGATGGGGAGGGAAAGCAAGTGAAAATGAGGGAGAACAAGAGAGAGAAAAAGAGCACAAGGGAGGGAGGGAAAGTGAGTGAAAATGAGGGAGAACAAGAGAGAGAGAGAGAGAGAGAGAGAGAGAGAGAGAGAGAGAGAGAGAGAGAGAGAGAGAGAGAGAGAGAGAGAGAGAGAGAGAGAGAGAGAGAGAGAGAGAGAGAGAGCACAAGGCAGGGAGGGAAGGAAGAGAGGGAACAAGACAGAGAATATCAGAGCAACAACATTCCAATAGGACAGGTAGGGTGTATACGGAAATCATTATTATATTTACCCAAAATGGGACATAATCAGCTTAACCATGTCCTTGGGGTTTAGTGAAAATATTGAGAAACGACTGATCGAAAAAATGTTCTTGTCGAGCGCGTTCACGCTGCGCTTCATTCATCAACTGGTGGCGATCATCATTCTCTTCTTGTCCACCTTCGTTCAAACAATTGTTTGGTGGTGTACTTCAGGTGGCTGGCGAGCAAAGTGTCATGACCCAGTCTAGTGATGCTAGAGCAGGGCGCAGGCTCGCACCATCTTGGTGCACGGCACAGGTTTAGTAAGGTATCAGTGAGGCAATGGCGGCCCAGGTTTGGTAAGGTGTCAGGGAGGCCATGGCAGTCTTGTCTGTCTGACACTTGGGCGAGCAAGTAAGACAAAGAACTAGATGCTTGCGCGTCGCTCAGTTCTCGCGAGTTGTCTGGAAAAATGTCAGAAGCGGAGGTCACGATCGCCAGTGTCATTGGTAGAACTGAAGTGAAAAAGGGTGCAAGTGCAACGCCGCAAACTACAGTCTCAACTCCGGAATTTTTGACCATCCGCCGACAAACGCTGGCTACAAAAAAAACGGAGAAAGAAACATGTTGTACTTGAAGGTATATGAGCCCCGGCCAGCGAAAACCAGCACTTGTGTACTTGATATCAATCATCAAAATATGACGTCAAAGTTTGGGACGCGCAGTGAGCTGGCTTTTGAAGATTCTTTTTCGATCGAGTGGGTGTCTTTGTTGTCAAAGGAGTTTCAAGTGTCTTCAAATGTCTCTGGTCAATTGATTTTAGCGCTAGGTGAGAGCTCATCACACGGAGGTTGAGTTTAGACACAGCGATGGCGACAGGTGTCGCGACAAAGACTTAGGTCCAGAGTTGTCAGCGTGAGACTCCCTGTACGAAGCGGCGCTGAAAGTTAGTTCGCGATCGGAATTATTTCTTTGGTGGCGATCTCGCTGAGTTTGTCCAGCAGTGGGGAGTCTCATATGCATAGCAACGGAGAGCCCTCATAAAATCGACACTGGATACTGGTGGCGACGATAGTCAGTGCTGGAGTAATAGCGACTGCGAGAAGAAGCTGAATGTCGACCCGCTGAGCGATCCGTATTTCTACATCGACGACAGTGATGTTGCAGACACTGATGTTGCAGACATTGATGGAGGGCTTCTCACGGCGCAAAACAGAGCGTAGTATTATCAGTACTCTACCTTGCCAGACGACGCCAAGCTGGCTGCTGCCTGTGCTGAGAAAGGGAATCCCTAAAAACTCAAACCGGCTGAACGCTTTGGGGCAACATCTTCACCTGCTACAAAACGCGAGTATTCCCTCATATCATTGAAATACAATTATGCTGAAATCATGGTCTGAGTGAAAGTGTGCAAGGGAGTGGATGTCAGTGGTATTGGTCAGTACATCTATCAGTATGGCAAGTTTGGGACAACGCTCAAACTGCCAGCACAGAGGTCCCTGAACGCAAGTTGGAAGGCCAGCCACCAATAATCGTTTTGCACTCTGGTGTTGTAAAGAAGGTAGGAATACGGAATATCGTCACACTTCTGAACTACTCATGCCTGCAGCACCAAGAGGGCAAGCCTGACTTGCATTCTATTTACTTACATGTACCTGTTCCACGTCACAATCAGAAACTGTAGGATCAACTTGCATGGAGTCACTGGGCATGGATGCTGCGCCAACTGTACCGAATCTTGACCTGTGTGACTTCAAACTCTATTTTCCATGCTTTCGCTTATCAGATTGTCACCAAACTCGATAACTTGAATGATTAATAGTGTAGAAACAATTTTGAGGGAAAAAATAATTTTTGAAAAAATTACACATGTTCAGGTTTCTGCTGGCTGGGGCTCATATGCTTTGAAAGCGGTGTATGGGTCACTTTCAGCCTACTGTGGCGCCCTGTACCGCCTCCAGGAGGTCAAGTAAGATCTAAAAAACAGCTGACAAAATTGACAAATTTCACCCGGAGACACATGTTTCAGGTGGCTGCGGCCCATACAATTCTGATGATGGTGATGCCATGGCCAGCAATCGAGGACATCTGAGAGTTGTAATTGTTGTACTCCTCCGAGGTGTGATTTTTGGCGTGCTGGGCCAAGCACAAGGAAGCCATTTGTAAAAAAACTTCAGTCGAAGCTAGTTGCTGTTTGGAGCAGAAACGCTGAAATTGACTATTTTCTGCATGTACTCATACATGTACTCATGTACTCAGGCATGCAGTCTCACTCGTATTTAAGCTCTTTTTCTTGAATGGATGCTGCTCTGCGCCCCTTGGTGAACATTTCCTGCGCTCGTGGAGCAGCTGAAAAGGACCACTGGTATGTCTGGTTTAAAAGTGGAGAGTCGACTTTTGTGCCTTGAAAAAGGAGTAGAGAGCGATAAAGGTACGTCTGTGGCTTATTTTTGAGTGCTCCTCGTACATTTTTGATCGTGATAGAAATTCTCAGACCAAAGTCAGACCAAAGTCAGCGCGATGATGGCCGTACAGTTTTCTTGTGGATTTTTTAGTTGTTTCATCTCGTATCTATGTCAGTATCGTGATGGTGAAGTGGAGAGGGTGATTTTCTTCCTCTAGGCTTCGTTCGTCCGACTTTGCTTCGTCCTCGTTGAAAAGTGATCCTGAAAAAAAGGTCGATTCACAAAATTATGTTGATTTTCAATGTACGTGATGACATGCGATTGCTGGCTATGCCTTGTAGTTGTTTTATGTTCAGGTGTGTGAACAGGTGCATGTCTGTATGTGTGTGTGTGTGTGTGTGTGTGTGTGTGTGTGTGTGTGTGTGTGTGTGTGTGTGTGTGTGTGTGTGTGTGTGTGTGTGTGTGTGTGTGTGTGTGTGTGTGTGTGTGTGTGTGTGTGAGGGCTCATCCTGCGTGCGTATTCAAATACATACGCAACTATGTGTGTGTGTGTGTGTTTACGTGTGAGTGGGTGTATGTGTGTGTGTACATGTGTGTGTGCATGTGTGTGTACGTACGTGTCTGCGTGTTTCGCAGAACCAGCTCCTGTTGGTACCTTAGCAAGCCGTAGAACAGCAACAGGAATGCAATCTGTGGGTGGGTGGGGGGGGGGTAAGGGGGCTGGGTTAGATTCAGGAAATCGAAGACGTTTGAGATAGTGACTAGAACTAAAGTAACCCTAGAAAGGAAATGAGAGAAGTTTTCAAAGTGCCAAGTGTCACTGCATAGGTCAGCGGAGCCTGTCCGGTTTAGCCAAATAGCACCGGACATAGCCAAATCTCTGAATTTCTTCATAGTTAGATTGATTTATTCCTAACTGTCACCCAATGTGGCTATTTAGTCAAAGGACAATCTCCACCTTGTCGCTAACAGCAATACTTTACATGTCCGGTGATGTTTGAACTGAGTCTTACTTTAATCAATTGTTTAGCTTAGTCCTCTTGCCCCCTGAGAGGCCTGAACCTTTCAGTAGCAGAGTTTGATCAGCACAATACAATCTAATGTCTTAAATTTGTTTGTTAACAGGAATGCTGTTACTCTAAAAGTGATGGACAACTGATAGACACGGGTCTTTACCAACCATTCCAAAGGATTTCAGCAAACGACAGTGCATTGCGTGACATCTGCCAAACTGGTGGCATGCTGTCTCATTTCTTCAAGAACCGCAACTCTCCCAAAGCTGTGGACCAGCGTGTCTCCATCAAACAAAGTAAGCAGATGTGTCCTGGAGCATTTTGAACATTACAACTCACTCACTATGTGTTGCATTGTATTCAGATTTTTTACCTGGGCCTTCGCAGTGGGGCTAATTCTTGTTGGATTGATTCCTACGGAGTACCCATCGAGGCGCGCTACAGTACGCATTTGGCTCATCAGTTGAGCTTGAGTAGGCTTTTTTTACTTCTTACTGCATGGTCAGTTTTCTAAACTGGGAACTTGAATGAAGTTGGTTATTACTGTCAAAGGAGATACTTGTAATAAACTTCTAAACAAAATCAACATTGAGTAAATAAATTCCTCGTCCAACATCTCACCTAAAACAGTGTTGAGTCACCTCCACCATTACACTGCGCTCTGGTTGTGTGCAGGAGGGTCTAGTCGGCTAAAGAGCACAGTGTAATGGTGGAGGTGACTCAACATTTTCTTCAATGGCCGAGAGCTCTGTCACACCCTGGAATAACACTACATCACCTGCCTTATCATCAATTGTTTTTGGTCTGTATTTCTTTGCCTTTGCACAGCTTACTGCTACGGAGATCCGCATCTTGTAAGTCTCAGTGGGGAGAGCTTCGACTTTCATGTGGTTGGAGAATTTGTTCTCGCACATATGATCGGAGATGAAATATCAATGGAAGTGACAGCAAGGATGCAGGTGATTCCAGTCAACAATGTGGCAAACTTCACATCGATCACGCGTGTTGCCATTACGATGAGTATGTTCTAGTCTGTGCATTGTTCACATTAATTTTGGCTCTTCAGGATTCCCCGGGACAAATGCAATTGACATGAGAATGTATTTGTTGTCTTAACTAGTCATAAGCCAACTGAACCTTTCTAGAGGGCCACAGCAGATGTCCATAAACAATACAAATAAAAGTTCAATTATAGATATATTGAGCTACACAGAGTGTATAGTGTATGTTGTACCATATTTTTAATACCCAGCAGGCAATACTGACACAGAGAGGAAAGTTTGAACCAGAAGAAGAAAGGTTAAGTGAGGGGAAGCCGTCACAGATGAAATTTAGGAGACTGAGAAGCAGATGAGGCTGTATAGGTGGATTGGGGAGAGGGAGCGAAGCATATAGGTTGCAACCTGTGGTTGCGACTGATAATTTGACAGGAATTGCCCTCTATTCCGCCCCCCCCCCCCCCCCCTCATTCGTCTTTTCTAAGTTCACCTTGACACGAATTTTCTTGTCTTTTTTCTCATTCCTCTCTTCAGCGCAAGGCCAGTCTAGCAGAAGTCTTGAAATCTTTTCAAACTCACAAGGAGAGATTCAAAAGCGAGGAGACCACTATGGAACTGTTCAAACACACCTCAGCAGAAGCATCGTAGCTAGTTTTGGAAGTTTCGGTGCCAACGTTTCTGTACAAAGCAATCCTATTCTGTCGGTGGCTATTCAAAGTGAGTATGTGGTTCAACGATGTGTCTAATGTTATTTTGATCACCTATTGTGGATTTATTAACCCTTGTAGCTTTGAAGCCCAGTGACTCGTATACTCATCCCGAGAGATTTCTCCAGGACCTGTATACTCTATAATTGTATCCAGAGACTTTCCCCGAATAAACGCATCCAGACGAGACATTGTGTGACCATAGGGCAGGACAAAGTTAGAAGCGGGGTAAAAAAAACCCACACACACTTGTGCAATTTGAAGTTTTTGTTTGCGCTGAGTGCATCCCAGTCCTGCTCACACACGGTGGGTGCCAATATGGACGTGTGAACTTCAGCAACACGACATACATGTAATATTCTACGTTACCTCAAAGAGCACATACCGAAAGTAATTAAGGCTGGGTATTGTATGTTCATTCGAAATATAGCCGAGCAGATCAGTCTGATTGTAGATATTTTGATTATTTTGATTTTTTGTCGAACAAAATTTTGAGACCATTCCCTTGTGTCAAATTTTTCTACGTGATGCCTGACAGGAGACATTCCTTGAATCAATTGATAGTGTGACTGGCATTCTTAAGGGTTTCCTTCTTGTTATTCTTTACCTTCTCCAGCGCCAGAGAATTCCCAGGTGATTGGTCTTCTCAACGTAGACCGCGACAACGGTGTAGATATCTTGCAAAACATCACCGAACTCAGACTGGAAGCAAAGGAGTGTAAGCAATTTGTTGGGAGGCAACTACTTTCTTTTTAACCATAATTATCTCTCCAATAGGCAGTTTTGGTGACTGTCGGTGCCTCCTGTTTTCACACACTTTACTGCTTCACAAGATATGATACTTCGGCATGGGAGATCTGTAGTACATCTGGACCATTGATTGCCCCCCCCCCCCCCCACACACACACACACACTCACTCCTTCAACCTTCGCCACCCCCAACCCCTCCCCTCCGACCTTCAAGTTGGCAAAGAGATGCAACTAAAGACTTGATACTGTGCAGTTTATGGCATAGCGCCGATCCCGAGAAGATATTTCTGTATCGATATGTGTGTTTGGGTGTGTGTATTGGCTTGTTTGTTTGCTTATCCTAACGTTGCAATGTTCCACCTGCACAGATCAAGTCAACGAGAGCACTAGCCCTTTCTCATACTCCTCACATGAAGGTTTCAGAGCTTACAACCCAATCAATCCACCCACAACTGGCATTGTGGACACAAGGAGAACGGTGGATGGATGTGACGACGATGCCACCTGCATTGCTGATTATATACTTTCTAGTGACATTAACTTGGCTAAGAGCACACTAGCATCCAAACGAGACCTCAACATGAGCACCAATACTGTCGGTAGGTATTCGAATCTAGTTAACGTACGGTTTTAACTTTGTGCTGGGAGTTCATTGGACCCAGATGATGTAGAGGTTATCAGTTGCCTGAGGATTGCCTTAGCTTTGCTATGTGCATTAAACCCAGTGTTACAATACTGACCTTGACGGTTGTCTCTGTTCTCTCCCGCCTATGTTGGATTGTCTGTCTGTTTTGTGTGTGTCATTGTTGGCAACCATTTTTGTGTGTGTAAGTGTGAATCTGTGCATTTGTGTGTGTGTGTATGCGTGCGTGTGCTTGTCTGTAGTTGTGATTGTGTGTATGTGTGTGTGTGTCAGCAAAAAATAAAAATAGGGATTCACTGACCAGAAAAAGTCACTTCAAACAGCTGTGTGGTGGATACCAGGCTAAATATAGTGGCGGTCAATTCATCAGCCTTGCAAGCTGTTGAATGGTGTAATCCCAGCACAAGTTGCTATGTCTAACATAGCTGTTCGCTATCATCGCTTCCGCGATGGGCATGTCTGAGGTCTGAGGTGTGTGTGTATGGAAAATGGTGTGTATGCGTGTGCATGTCCATGAATGTATGCGATGTTTGGTCCATTTATTTCTTGTTTTTGGTGTACATGCGCATGCAGTAAGTATTTGCAGTAAGTATTTGCAGTAAGTATTTGCAGTAAGTATTTGCAGTAAGTATTTGCAGTACTTGTAAGTATTTGCAGTAGGTATTTGGTTGCACATGAACATGTGTATTTATTTACATGTTTCTATGGGCAGCTCGCACTCCACCAATAATCTCAATGAATCAAACTGCCTTGCATGGTACATACCAAGCAGCTAGCACAGTTACTGTTGTCGCATCCCCAAGAGCTGGTTTGACGATCGTGAGCATCAATTACACAGTTAATGGTATCACCGTGTCGGCTCAGAAAGTATCCCCCAGTTCACTGGTCTTTTCATGGACTCCTACTCAGAGGCATCTCAATGGCAGTGTGTCACTACATGTGACAGCAGCCGACAGCAATGGTGACATCGCTACCATGACAATTCCAATTGCTCTGTGCAGCTGCTTTGGAACTTGCCAGCCACTTGCATCCATTTCTCTGACAGAACCCTTCACCAAACTGGGCTGCGCCTCTTGTGAAGCTGGTAAGTGTAAATGTTGAATTTGACTTCCGTGTTCGAGGAATGACTTGGGAAATTCCATTGCAAAGAGTGGATGTTTCGCAGTGAATATGATGTCGGGGTCTGATTTAACCCTTTCAGTGCCAAGTCCTACAGGCTCCCACGAGATTGGCCAAAGACGAGATATCTCGTCCTCGTAGTGCGCACTACTCTATCTTACCGGCCATGCACTACCATCTAGCTAGGCAGATTGTGGCTCTTTGGCAAGAAACTAGGGGGAAAGGCGGTGACTGGGATGCGGACATAGCTGTTGGCGACGTTGTATATTGTGTGCAAGTGCTTGTATATGCTGTGTCTTTTTTATCACTGGGTGCCTACCTGTGTATCTCTGTCTGTAGGGCCCTGTTAAGTTAATATTATGAAACCCTCACCATTAGACAGCTATAGACGATGAGATGAGATGCAAAAATGCTAAAATTTTAACTTGCCAACCATACCGGTTTTTCTCGGTACTATACCGATGAACAACCGGCATACCGGGAGGGCTTTCATCAAAAAATTACCGGTTGTTTGTTTGTTTGTATTCTTTACTTACAGTGGGAAGTCCAAAACAGGCCCTAGCCTAATAACAATGGTCCCACTAGTGAGGGAATGCTGTATATCTGTGCATAAGGATCAGTGAGTGTAACAGCAACTAACTCAAAACAGGCAGGGAGCTGGTTCCATAACATGGTCCCAGCATAGGTAACACGTTTGGCAAGATATGCAGTTGGGCTGGCTGGGACCGGTATTGGCACTGAACCATAAGTGTTAAAAAATGGTTGTTTTGTGGTGTGACAAGGGCACATGCGGCCCTGCATTTCACAGACTCACGCATGTAGGGGCGATCCGGCAATAAAGAAACTCAGGTTTTGGTCCCCCAATGAGCAGTGGGTTAGAAATGAATAAATAGAAAGAAAAATTGCGGAAAAGACGCAAAAAATATAAAATATTGTCCAAAACAATCGACGAGGGGACAATTGATATTATTATTATTATTCTCAATTCATGGATGACATGGTGTCAACCAATATTATGAATGAGGGCTACCAGCCATGGAATAAAAGAGCGAGAAGAGGCAAAATGAACACGCAAAATATGGCAAGTTAAATGAAAATGAAAATGAAATAAAAAGTAAATCAATCCAAAACCAAAATCAATTATAAAAATCAATCCGAAACCCAAATGAATTCTACAGGTAGCGTATGTGATTTACTTTGGAGCTTGAAGTAATACACAAAGAGAAATAGTCGTAAAATGGCAATAAATAAGATAAATTGTGCACCCATAACAACAGCAAAAAAAATGAATTATTAGCTACATTGTACATATTAGCTACATGTATATAAGTATGTGTTTTAGTTATTACATTTTTATGTGACGGCGTTCCACTGATGATAGTCACAAGAAAACGTTATGGAACTTGACTTTCTTCATTTTTGCTGTTGTTATGAGTGCACAATTTATCTTATTTATTGCCATTTTACGAATATTGTCCCAAAAAAGAGAAAATGGACGAAATTGGCGAAAACCAGGAAAATAAGGAAAACTGGGTGTGTGACTAATTCATTTGTTTTGACTGGGTTGGCAAGTATGCCAGTAATAAATGCAGAAAAAAGAGAAGAAGAAACATGAGAACGAGTTATGCAGCAACTATCAAAAATGGTAACAAGACTATAAACAGTCAGAAAGTGTAATAATAGGGCACAAAGCTGACAGCCTCCAGAGACATTGCTGCGTAACTCGTATTCATGTGTTTTCTTCTCTTTCTTACAATTAGGTAAAAAGTGCTGTTTTATTTTCCTCGAAAATACACCTTTTATCTACTGTAGAGCCTTCAACTTTTGTGGAATCTCCCAAAACATGTTCCTTTCCATGAAACATTGATTTTCCCTCCCCAAAAGCAACATTGAAAATGGTGAACAGTATGTATGGCAACAGTTTGGCGTCTCAACCCGTTTTCTTTCTTGATCGATAGATAGCTGATCTTTTCGTTGACTTTTTCTTGTATCTTTGCAAACTGCTAACTGATAACATGTTCTGTATACGTGCCTTTCTATAGGTCGCACTGGTTCTAACTGTGACGAGGATCTGGACAGCTGTATTACATCACCATGTTCTAGTTCGCTACACACGTGTACTGATATCCCGCTGCCTGGAGATGGCTTCACCTGTTCATGTCGCGCTGGTTTCACGGAGAGCAATGGCAACTGCCTCGATGTGAACGAATGTGTAACTGGCGGTGGCCACAGCTGTCCACAAAGTCGCAGCTCATGCACCAACACAGCAGGCTCCTATCTATGCCAGTGTTCAGCTGGCTACACAGGCGATAACTGTCTAGGTAGGAAGTAGACAAGTATTTCACTCTCTTTGGTGGCCAATTTCCAGTGTATGCTAGGGTAGTGTACGGTTTGGTCAAAAATGAAACGCCTACATTAGAGCAATGAAGGTTGTATCTGAGACACTGTGGAAAAATGGTTACAGACCATTATAGTTACTTGATAAAGTATTTTCAGAATGGGAGTCTCCGTGAAACGCTCATCACGAAAATTAATGTTGCATCAATTATAAACCAGATGCAGAGAACAGTATATTTTAGCAAATGCATTGTTATGTATTATGAACTGTGGAAGCTTAGAGTGAAGTTCATGAAAAAAGGGGAAATCTCTTTGGTAGCGCTATTTAGCTTTAGTCAAGCTCATATACTATTATCATTCCATGGGACGCACCAGTACTTACGCACCAGTACCGTATTTTTCCAGTTGTAAGTCGACCTTTTATGACTAAAAATAGAAGGAGAAAGGGTGGGGGTTGACTTACAACCGGGATTCGACTTATAACCGAGAACTATCAGAATCTTACAAAAAATGACCTGCCCTGCATGCATGAGTGCACCATCTGTACACATGTTTGCCAGTTTATTGGCCTTTTTCAGGGATTGGGACGTTATATCCTCCAATAAGGAAAGTTTACATGATTTGTTGATGTGTTAGTAGCAGGGAGTGGTTGGCAGTGCTTCATTGGGTGAAAACTTTAAAACGCAGAATTGAGACCTCCGGATACGGGGGTCGACCTATAACCGGGGTCGACTTACAACCGGTAAAATACGGTACTTGTGCTGAATCACGCCTATCTGAATGTGAAAGTGTTTACCTAGCTGATACGCATCATAATCTTTGCTGCTGTGTGGTTTCAGATCAGGACGAATGCAGTTTAGATGTGAACGACTGTATACGTTCGACAGGTTCATGTATTAACACGGCTGGAAGTTACGAGTGTGTTTGCCCGGAAGGTTTTGAAGGCACTGGAAGACAGGATTATGGTGGTTGTGATGGTAAGCATTACTAAGCAACATTGTTATGCTGAATGCGATAATGACGATGTTTAAGTTTCTTCTGCACGTGCACCTCGCATCATATTGCTGTTAAAATTAATGATTTAAACAGTCGCTGCTTAGTATTGTTACCCTCCTGGGTAGGGATAAGCCCATTGCATGCAATATTTTACATCATTATACATCAGAAAAGCGCAGTGGCCAATGTCCCCAGTACTACTTGTAGTACAGGTCTACTCTCCATATAACGTTATCTTTGGGACCACGCAAAAACTATCGAGAATTATGTTATGTAGAAAACCGTGCGTAAAATACAAGATGAACAGAATTTGGGTGGACACACCCATTCCCATAGCGCTGCACACTCGAACCAGTTCCGTTATTTTTACAACGTTGTGCAGCGCTGTGGGAATGGGTGTGTCCACCCGAATTACTTTCAGAGATGAAGCTGCAGGAAGCCCCAGCCCTTCTTTAAAATACAAGATGTACCTAAAAATGAAGGGTTATACAAGGCGGATTTAACAATGAAAACATGTCCACACTGTACCACCATTGACATCAGATGCAACCGATGCCGCAGAATATATGCACGGTAGGACTAAACTGGTCAGCTACAGCTACAGCTTGATTGTACCGTGCACATGAATCTATGTTGCATCGGGAGTGCGCACGTCGGGGACTGCATCGAAGCATGCGTTATGTCGATGTTTAGGTTATATAGGACTAAACTGGCCTAAACTGGCTAGCTACAGCTTGATCGTACCGCACATGTGAATCTACGTTGTATCGGGAGTGCGCACGTCGGGAAGTGCACCGTAGCATGCGTTATGCCGATGTTTACGTTATGTAGGATTACGTTGATGCTTTTTCGGCGCCAGATTTGTGTTGTTTCCGTACTATAGCTTGTTTGATTGTTTGTATTCTTTACTTACAGTGGGAAGTCCAAAACAGGCCCTAGCCTAATAACAATGGTCCCACTAGTGACGGAATGCAGTATAGTGCGTTTCAAAAGCTAAGACATCCGGTTTCAAAAAATCGTTAGGCCAACATCAACATACAACATACCACATAAAATCTGTGTCACATTGTGCATACAATTTCCTAAATTGGGCGTTTGCTATCTCACGTGCGGAAAGTTCTAATGAGGGCAGGGGATGCACCACAAACATGTGCACGAGCTATGCTTTTCCTTTTTTTCCTTTTATCATTATCTTCATAATTTCGAGAGAATTGTGGAAACATGCCCTGTGTGAAAGCAGATGTTTGCCTGTGTTAATGGTGAAATAAAACCTTGTAAAATGGAAGATACCAGGCTCCTTCCATAGCTAGATTCTAGTACAAACTTGTCTAAGAACTTGCAGACTCCATTGCAGCCTCTCATACATCAGGCTACCTCAACTCGAACTTTCCAAATACGGTCTTTTCTCTGGACAAGTCATTTCAAAATAAATAAATCATTGAATTCACCAAATATTCGGGCATGGCCCATCCTCAGGGTGAAAACATAAAAAATGCGGAAATATCAGTCAACGCCGCCTGTCAAACCGATGGAATGAAAAAAAGAAAAAGAAAAAGGCTTCTCATCCCATCTGACTATGCTTGTGAAGAAATAATCACAAAAGAAGCTAAGAAGAAGCGTAAAAAGAAGAAAAAGAAGAAAAAATCTTGTTAAAAGCAGGATTCGGACTCGCAACCCCCCCCCCCCCCCCATAATTGTTTTGTGTAAAACGGACGAAATGGCGATAGTGTCGTGAACTACCTTGATACAGCAACATTATTGTCGCAGTGATTGTGAGCGTGTGTTTGGTTTTATGGAATTTGTTTGGCAGTTGTTCAATGTAGAACACCAAAGATTACCAATGGAAAAAAGAACACATCGCGTATACTTTATGGAGATACCGCTCGATATGCTTGTGATGATGGCTTTCGTCTACTCGGTGATGGATCACCAAACTGCACTGCAGAGGGCAAGCTGACATCACTACCTAAATGCGTTTGTAAGTGCTTCGGCCCTATCAGTAGTTCAAAATTGAGTGGCGGGGGAGAAAATTCTAGTATGTTCTATACCCTACTATTTCACATACATGTATACCCTGTGCCCACATTAAGACAATTGTATTTGACCCTCTCATGGCAGCAAACCCAGTCGAGTTTGATATTCCAGCAGGTATTGAGGATATTGTTGACCAGTTGCAGGGCTGTGTACTCACATCACTTCTACAGCTGGGTACTCTCATCAATTCTCAGATTTGAATTTCAAGCCCATTGATTCGGGAGGGCACACAATTTCAATGAGACTAAGTGTCATATTCCAATTTCTGTGCTCTGTCTGATATCTTGGCCTTGTTTCAGCATTTGATGGATGTGCCGAGGGATCCCACCAGTGTGACCAGAATGCTGGCTGCAGAAAGATTGCGAAGGGAAGCTCATACGTTTGCACCTGTGAACCAGGTTTTACAGGAGATGGTCTATCCTGTGAACGTAAGTGTTAAATACACGACTTGTTTGTGTTGCGGTGTTGAATTTCATACCGCTTCAGTACGTGTGAGCTGTAGCTTTCAATTACTTGGCGCCTACTATTATGGCAAGTTGTTCAAAGTTTGTGCCCCCGGCTCGCTGAGAAATCACCTCCCCCCCCCCCCCCTTCCTCAACTTCTCAAGCTGATGTCTCCTGGTCAACCATGGTAAACTATGTTGTGCTTATGTGTGATTTTTAAATATTCTAGTGGTGCAAGATTACTGCCCTGAGTTCGATGTACTTAACGCTGCCAGTACGGCTTCCTCTACCACGAACAGCTTGGGAGACAATATCACTTTGGTCTGTGAGGATGGATATAGGTTGGTGCTCGAGGGTAATCAGTCTGACTCGTACACTTGCTCCATGAATGATGCAGGCCTCGGCGAGTGGGATGGTGATGCCTTCTGCGAGGGTGAGTCTGAAGTCATAATTATATAAGTCGCATGGTCTGAATAATGCTGCCGCAAGAAGAAACAAAGTCCATGGCCACCTATAGGCAAACTCATAGGGTTTTTTCCTGGAGCTATAGACACTACCAATAACATAGGGCTATTAACAAGCCACTATTAACAGCCTGTCCTCCCATAATAACATTGAGTTCAGTGCTAATTTACGAGGATGAGGTGAGGAGAATGCCGTGAACACATGTTGCATTCCCGTAATGTTTTAG